GTGTGATGCTCGACATGGAAAACACTTTCACTAATAGTTTGCAAGAAATTAGTGTCAAATCAGCTGAAGAAAGGGTTGCTTTCAATGAATTAATTGATAAGGAGTTGAAAGAACTGAATTGCAAAACCAAATTACTATCGAAATTGAAGTTTGATTTGAATGTCATTCGAGAGGTTTCCGAGAAATAATCATTTTAAGTGTTATTCAAATGATTTTTAACTTTATTTATCATACTGTACCATATATGCCCAGTACGGTATTACCGTATATCAATTTATATACCGGTACTTTTCACTAAATCTATGTCCAATATATCATATCTCACTTTTCTTAATCAGTATTTTTAATAAACTTGTTCTTAACATTGACTACAATGATTTTAATGATTTTTTAATGCTAAATTGGTTGAATTAGTTTTTGGTGATTAGACCTGATTGTGTTAAGTTTAATCATTAATTATTAAATAATAGACTAGTATTGTATTTTGGATTTGCCACTTTTAGATTTATTTTTTTTACCGCAATTAAAACATGATGCCTTTTACAATATAAAGATTCCATATGCTCATGTCATATCCAGTAGCATATAAAAGGCATAAAAGTATCAAATTTATAATCAATAAAGTTGCATCAATTTTTATTCTGTTTATTCTGTGGTAACAAATCAAATATATTTAATCACAATTAAGACATGATTATCACAAATAAATTTATGAAATATGGAGAATTTCAAAATGTTTAACTTATTTGCTAATTTGTAAATTACTTCATGTTTTGAGTGGATTTTAAATTGTCAACAAAATATGGGATAAAATAATGAATAACTTCACCATAAATAATGTTTGAAACTTGTGGGCAATTCCCGGATATATTCCCATAAACTATACTCTCAATTGCACTTACGTATCGGGAATACGCCCTAAAAGTCAGTAACTGTCGAACGCTTGAGTGTATTAAATGTCTGTCTGTTTACCACAAACACATCGACAAAGAGATCTCTGAAGACATCTGACCAGCGCTTCCACTGATGGCCTATCAGTCATATTACGGCAAACGTCGGGACAGTCCGCCCATTGAGTCGGGAATGTATGCTCGAGACCGGTCGCCACCACCGCAACAGTCTTATAGCGGCCGTCGATCACCACAAGTGGGACGCATCCCGAAGATCAACGCCACGTCCTCTTTGGATGACTTGAGGAGTGAATTCAATCGCATCACAGGCGACACGCCGCTCAAGATGGAGGACATGACGTGGGATAAGATGGGCTCAAAGGTTCAGGATATGCTCGAAAGCAGAGCTAATGGTCTGTTCCTTCATTCCTCTGAATCCATGTCACAGTCATTGACAACAATGTCTTTGAATGGTTTGAACTGATTTGGGTGTTTGATCACCACAACAGATCCCAACTCTGAAGGACACTCTCTATTCCCGGCGCCAATGCGACGGCGACGAGACAAGAGGGATATGCCCGTAATTATGACCACATATTGTCTTTGAATCGGTTTAGTAATTGATGTCATAATCTGTTTGTTTGGCAGTTGATTATCAACGGAAACATAGGTTTGTTTTATTGACCATCAGTTGTAAGTGTTGTCATTTGATTTCGTGATTGATCTATGGATCAGTTCCGCGCAAAGACGCCCTTCTCATTGATCTGGTTTTGAACAACAAGTCGACTCTTGACGCCCAGTTGAGTCTAACCAAACATCCAGTGGTCGGTATGTCTTCGGCTATTGTACGCCATAAGTGCAGAGATTTATAAAATGTTTGAAATACCGGTACTTAGGACTCGAGTATATGATTGAATACATCGATCCGGACGGTCAGTCCCCCAGAATATACTACTGCCGTCTCTGCAAACAGTTCAATACGTGTGCGTCTGTTATGGAGCACATCACTGGATACAACCATCGCGTCAGATATATCGTCAGTCAAGCCATCAATGAATTTGTCGATTACATTCAATTAATGATTATCTGATGCACTGATAGGCAAACAAATACCCGAATCAGGCGAAGACATACCTATTACCAGACGGCAGACGAGCCAACCGTAACCCGGCTCTCATGCGTATGGCTCAGGGAAGAGCTCAGGAACTGGAGCTCGTGTATGGCAGAGGAGACTTTGAGATCAGACACGAGAAGGTGACCATTCCTGATGAGGCACAGGTGGACGTCGAGTCGGATATCATCACTGTGGAGTCGGGCCAACAGACAGAAGTGCTGAAACAGGCGCTCAAACAGATCAAAGCCTGCAAACTGGAGGGCGAGGAAGATATTCGTGTCGCCAAACAGATCATCAATGACTTGACTGATGCTATCATTGAATATAAACAGTCGGTTCAGGAGAAACAGGTGAACGCCGGCATCAATTCGTTGATCTCTTCGGGAAGAGGCAACTATTGAGGCATTCATTGAGACAATGCATCAATAGATGAAACAATGACTTCTTAGAAATGATTGACTCAAATATATTCTTATTACCGGTAATTGTAATTCCCTATTACGGTAATTGTCGTCATTTTTTTGACTATTAATCTCAGACTGTTTTCAATTATACTATTCATGTGTAATTCAAATGTATATAATTACAGGTATTATTCACATATAAATCCATATTAATTATTAATTCACTGGATTTAATTGATAGCTATTATTACAATAATCACATAATTATTCAATCATCTATTGAATCACTTTTTGTCTATTACTGTATTTCTGTATTTGGTTTGATTTTGAATAAAAGTGTCAATAAATAAAAAGATTTTGAAATGATTGAGTGGCATATAATTGGTGTGAATGTCTTAGAGAATGTTAATTGTGTTGATTGAACCCGCAGTTGGATCAGTTGGATCTAATATACAGTACTACCGGTACTGCGGGTTTAATAGTATAATGTATGATACTGTATGGCAATTGTTTGATATTAATACCAAAGTCTACGTGAAGTGTATGATTGGCAACAGATGTCAGCGCAAGTGAGTCCACGTTTGACTCCATTTTGGTTTTGCATTCATTTGACGTTTTGTTCACTACTTTGTAAACAAGTCTTCATGTCTTCGCAAATGTGTGCAAATTGATTGTCATTTCATTGTATTTATAATTAACTGTTGATTTGATTGCGAAGTGAAGACAACACGAGTGGACACAATGTCACAACCGGCGCGAACTCACGAGGGTTTGTATCATTAGATTTGATTTGTTTGCGTCAATTGCATGTGAATTGCATTTTAATTGTTATGTCTTTTTGTGTCCAGAAATCGAGTCACAGATCCGCGACATTCAGGCAAAGAAAGCCAGTCTTAACACCGAAAATGGCAACGATTTGGACGGACGGGTGTCTATGTCTTTGTCGAAGGCCGCCATGGATTCAGACATTTATGGCGATAATCATAACAAATACGCCAATTATAACACATCCATTGCCACCAATGATGACAATGACTACGAGGTATGCATTGATATTCAGTTTGTTTTGTGCTTTTATTAATGAATTGTCTTTTTATAGGACGACG